CACGAAATAGGGTGAATACATCTCATTACACTGATTTACTGGTAGTCTCGAAACCCTACTCACATACGAGAATTCTTCTTCTACCAGTCCTCCATCACCTTAAACGAAATTGGGTGAATATATCTTATATTACTGATTTACAAGTAGTCCTGAAAACAATACTTAATTCGAAAAATATCTGTAGGTAGTTTGATGCGAATTTCTCTGTAGCGTTCTCAAACAACCCTTCTATGTTGTTGTTAATTCTAAGTCTCTCACTATAGTTTTACCGGCTATACACCAGTCGCCAAAGTGAGGTTGAAAACTTGGCTAGCGTCCACTATAAATGATTCATATCTGCGTCCAGAGCAACCGGTACACGTGAAGGCACTTGTTAGCCCATAAATCGAAGCTTTATGACCAATTCTTAGCCTTGGCGTGCAGGTTGGCTCAGGTGAAGTAAGATAATCCTCGTATAACTGTTATGCAACCCGGCTTCAATGCAGTTTTAGACACCAACAGTCAGCAAGTCCGCGAGCCAGAAAATATCGATCGCGACCAGATTTCTGCCAGAACACTTCTTGCCTGCCTTCGTCAAGCGGTAGAAGCAGCGCTGCTCTCACAGCTCCGTTCCTGCTGATTCATTTGCACTTAATCTCATCATGCCCAGAGGGTCGAATGTGTGCAAGCAATCTCGGTTTAACCCGATGCACACTTGCATACACACATGAATGCATACATACAGATAAGACTAAACTTCGCCGGTACACGATCACACGGCTGGACGTGTGCATGCAAGATTAGACAAGCGTCTGGATGAATGTGGCGTTTGCCGACTCGCCAACCCGCTTTCACATTCACAGCCACAGAAATACGGACTGGCAGCTACAGACAGATACACCAAGCTTCACAAACGCCCCTGACTTCACATGCGCTAGAACACCCCGTGGGTCAACAGCTCGAAGGGTTGTTTGTGCCGGCCTGTCCAGAGCAGATGGCGTTTGACCCCGCCAATCACACCATTTGGGACTGCGGGCTGTGCCTAATCCGGGCCAACCACGTGCATGCATGACACCCTCGAACCCAACCCTAGCGCTTGTAGGCATAACACGATAAGCACGGGCACCGATGCACACAATGGCAGCACCCCACTTGGCAACTGAAACTTATAGTTTTGATACTGCCATCGAAATTTCATCATCATCACCGTCGTCACTATCACCATCACCACCACCATCATCATTATCTTCTTCACCATCACTCTCATTATTATCATATTTATATTCGTCATTACCATCATCACTATATCCCTCACTTTCATAATCATCATTACTACTACTAGCACCATCACCAACATTGTCGTCCTCCTCCTCATTATTATTATTATTATTAGTAGCAGCAGCAGTAGTAGTAGTAGTAGTAGTAATAGTATCATCATTATCCTGTCACTGTCACATTTCTTCGACATCCGGCTCTGTTTCTGTCGGATTATAAGCCATTTTCACCTCTTCCACTTGCCCCCACGTCTTTCTTTAGTCATTTATCACTGGCCCACAAGCCTTTTGGGTAAAAGTCACGCCTCTTCTCGCCACTGGAGATGCCGTATCCCTAACCCTGTCACCGATGATTTTTTCAGAGTTGAGATCTTTCCACTTGATTCCATGAACTTGAATCAAGGCTGTCACGTGCGCGCTCTTTCCATATCTCTCTCTCTCACTCTTTCACTCGCATTTTTCCCATTACCCTTAAAAGAACAGCGATGCCGAGCTGTATGAAAATCGGCCTAACTCTGCTTTATTCTCTATTTATGTCACACCCTGGGGCAATACTTTAATCAGAAGGCCGTTGGTTCTTACTAGAACTACTGAAAAGTGTGAACTCCGGTATTTTAGAGGGAACGATGCAATGACTCGTAGGCCAATCTCGCCAATTTTTCCAGTAGTTCTGCGGTCGTTTGGTTTTTCTATGATGTTCTGGCGGATGCAGTCCACATAAGATTCTCATTTGGTTCGAGTGTAAATGGACTCAGCTTTATTACATCTTTTTGGATTTAGGCTTAAAGGCGCACATACACGATGCGACCCACACACAAAGATTTGCATAAAAGTTCTTAGATTAACATGAGAAGGACTAACCGAATAATTCTACACCTATCTGCTTCTATCTATTCCATATCCTTCTATATCAATCTATATTTTTATATATGTCATTCTATCCATATATTTAGTATCGTTTTTCCTGTTATTGTTGTTGTAAAGCCGATTAGTTGGCCTCATTTAGTTTTGACTTAAGGCATTTGTAAGAATGAGATCCAGCTCTGAAAATCTTTGCCACGTTGTCTGATAGAAAAAGTTCAGTCGATTTTCGCGCGAACCGAAGGGGGATCTTTCGTGAACTGCGCCAAACTAAACTGCAGAAAACAAGATTTGGCTCTTCTGTTGAAATCGACTCATGATACTCTTCCTCAGGTGCTTTCACACGAAAGTACTGTCACCAAAGCAATGCCATATCATAAGAATATTGGAACTCAAGTCTTCATATATAACTATATAAAAGCTAAGTTTCATAGAATCCCCTTCATGAAATTCTATCCTTCAGTTCATATGAGTTATTGGGTAAGAGCGAGTGCCAAATTGGCTGTTTTTTCCTGAATGCGGATTTCCATGAATTAGGGACGGCTGTACTGTGTGAGAACGTCTGCGGAGTGCCTCCCTTTAGCATGTTGTGACAGACATCATCAGAACGAGAAAGCATGCTGTGGTGGACTTCACCAAACACGAAGACAAGAATGGTGACCAGCTGTAGCCCCGTCTTGGCCTAGGGTTTGGTGAATTTCCCTACGGACTAACGATGTCTATCACGGCGGGGCAGAACAGAAGCAACAGGACGATTTTGCACAAATAAAACAGCTCAGAATGCACGAAAATCCTTCTTCGGTTTTCGGCGTGGCTAATTTTATAATCTCTTCCACCCAACTCTTCATGCGAGATAAACTATTCACTGGCGTGATTTGCAAATGGCAATCCCATTTGTCAGGGGTAAAACGTCTCTGTATTCAGAGATGGGCCTCTTTCACATAATCTACTTTGAGAGCTAGGGATAGAACCTAAATCAAATCTCAAAAAGTCTTTTCTGAGGTCCATGTAATCTCCTGCCTTGTAAAGTGCTTCGGAAAGCTGCACTAGCAGGAGCCCTCCGAAAGGTGAATTATACGAAATAACTGCCCTCCGAATGCCAGTCTCATTCCATATTCACATTGAGTGTGTTAAGATGCCTAAATAGATCTTAATTTATAAATGTATATATATGGTGGTGATTATTGAATTTTCCCTACAATGATATGAGTGGGCCCCACGATGCCATTGGCTTCACTTAGCTCTCCCTACCAGAAGCTATTGTCAAACAGGGAAGGCTGCATATATGACATCGCCTGGTTCCTCCAACGGAAATCGAACCCAAGTAGTGCATGGTTTATTTTCGATATATCACAATTTGCCTTAAAAATCACGTTTGTCCTGTACCCTGCTGACGTCCGTGGCAGTTTTACACCAAAAATTAAAAAAAAACGCTGGACTCCCAGGGTTTTACTTTTTGGGGGTGTGGACGAGCCCCAGGTGAGGTCATAATTGAGGTTCACTCTTGCTAAGAATGTCTGGGATGAATAAAATTCTTGCCTCATACTGTCTGGACATACCTCCGTGATTCTCCTTTTAACATTCTTATGCTTTGTAACTATTTATTTACTCTTCTATTTGTAGTGAGTTTATTTTGAGGATATCATGAGAACGTGAATGGGACCTTAAGTCATCTGGGGTTGCTTAAGGTATTGCAAGGACCGGTAAATTATTTTTTCTCAGTGAAATAAGGAGTTCTCACCGTGAAAGTGAATTTCACACTGCTTAGTCGCCCAAACTGGCAACACTTTAGAGTTTACCTGAGACATATCAGTTGCTCCAGTAGAGTCCGAAGCCAGATCGCGCGCATAAATTAGCGTCATAGGACAAGTGTAACTATCAAAACATGTCAGGCTTCTCTCGTGCCACAGTTATGATGGGATTGTCGGAGCTATTACTTGTGAGTGTATCTCGAGTCTATTTGTACTTCTTTTAAAAGTACTTGGGCCTTTGGCAATCCTAGCATAAATGTGATTTTGGAGATGCCCGACCTATCTTCAACTTCTGCATCAGCTCGGTCTCCTACTGCGCTCGTGGCTATGTTACAAAGTGGTTGACACGATGCAAACGCCCCTGTTTAGTATCCGCCAGAAGAGCGGACGCCGCCTGGGTGTGGTGGAAATTGCATCCCATTCTGGAAAGGAGGCTTTCATAACATCGTGACACTTAAAGGTTCCAATTTTATTATTTACATCTCATTAAATTGAGCGATTGGAGTGACTAGTGTTCTTACTTCCTTTGTCCAGTTAACGTATTATGCTCGCATTTGTGATGTCTTTTACTACCCAGAGCCAAACCGATCATGACTGCCTGCAGTTCTTTCGAGATTTTCATACACACCGTGACCCAGATCCTCCTTCCTCACAACTTTTTGCAC